TCCTCAGTGGCCACTGCCCGAAAAACCTGGGGAGCCTTTGGAAGGTCAATTTTGGCTCCCCACTGGGCTAGAAGTTCTCTTCCCCAGAGAGGCTCGGTGTAATCCACTACGAACGGACGTACTGAAGCCAAGTGCCCGTCTGGCCCCGTAATTTGCACAACGCTCCTAGATTGTTTCACCAATTGGAGCCCTCCTACACCTTGAATGGTTCCGGCCCTGTTCTGCAAGCCCCAATATGATGGCCACTCCCAAGAGGGAATGATCGTCACATCTGCCCCTGTGTCCAAAAGACCCCTTATGATTTTACAGTCCCCGCCCAACAAGAGTTGACATGTTAGGTGGGGCTTCTCCCTCCCCACTACTTGTGCCCAGGCCACTGTCGGAGGCGATGAATCTTCAGATGACTTGGTCCAGTGAGTCTCGTCTGGAACCAGGATGGCCTAGGCGATGACCTGACCTTTGGGGAGGAAAAGTGGGGGTTGGACACAGTACAGCCCTACCGCAAAACGGTCCCGGTCTGTGGTGACCAGTCCCGGGATGATGTAAAGGTCTCCCGGCGTGTGCTTTGTGTCCCCGACGATGGTCCACCTGCGACGTCCTAACTTCCTCCAGCGACCGGGATGTTGGAGGTCAGCAGACACCAGCTCAAAAACACTATTAGGTGAATTTCCCTAGTGAGCTGCAGCCTGTATGGGGAAGCAGAGGACAAGGTGATAAGTGCAGGTTGGGGTGGAATACCACAGATGCAATTTGTCAAGTCCAATAATAAATATGACAAGTCCGGTAGGGAGTGTGGCGGCTCTCCCTTCTCTCCCTCCTCCCCGCCAGATGTTATTGTACCCGCCACACTTCTGTCATCGTGCAGAGAGGGGCTGCGCTCAACGACTAGTTTTTTTGTTGTTTTTCTCCCTCCTCCTCCTTCCTCCTAAATTCCAGGAACTTTTGCCTCATGGGACACTGCGGCATCCAGTGCCCCATCTTCCTGCACAGGTGGCAGGGATGGGTGGCTGTGGTCCTCCTGCTGGACCCCGGTGTTAATGGTCCACTGGTGGCTGCAGCTTCAGCTTCTGGGAATTTCTCGAATGGCAGTTCGGCAAAGGCAACTGATGTTCAGCGGAGGCGAGCCTTGGGGTCTTGCAGGGGAACCTTCCTTGCGCATGCCTCAAACATTTTCTTGATGGTCGGCCGTGGGCTCAGGGGGAGGGACCAGATGGCCTCCCTACACGCCGCATTGGCGTTCTGGTAGGCCATCTGTCTTTACACTTCTTCCCTTTCCTTGTCTCCCGGAACGTCTGCACCCACAAACCGATAGAGACGTTCTACGAACGCAAGGTAAAGTTCCTGCGGTCCCTGTCTAATTTCCTCTGCCTCATATTGAGAGGTGACAGAAGTGAGTTTATAGAAGGCCCGCTCCGCCGCTATGCCAGTCTCCAAAAGCTGCTGAGGGAATCATGCCCTTGCCTGCGCCACCCCACTTGCCCAAGTCCCCTGCCCACCAGAGGTTCTTCACAAAGCACCTGAGTGCCGTCCGCGTCTCCATGGGGCCTAAAAGGCTAGAGAAGAGGGGTCTCAGGTCCGCAGGTACTAGATCTCCCTGCTCAAGGACCGAACGAAGGAGCCCCCGGAAATACTCAGATTCCTGGGAAAACTCCCTCTGGGCCTTGCACAGTTCCTTAATCTGGGCCTGTGCTAAAGGCACCCATTGGGCCAGAGAGCCCCCCTCCCTGCTGAGGTGGTATGTGACTGGGGCAGCTTCCAATAAAGGCGCTTGCCCCGGCTTCCAGTCATCCACCCCCCCGCTACCCCCAGAACACAAACCGTGGGAATCGGAAGGAGGAGCGTGGGAACCGGAAGTGGAGGAGGTTGAGGCGTAGCCTGGTGCTGAGGCGGGGCACCAGCTTGGGCAGGGCAAACTAATTCTCTCCGCCTCCTGGGTGGAGCTCGGAGGCGGAGTAGAATATGGAGGAGGAATTGGGGAGGGGTTAACTGGGGGCGGAGCAATGGGTGGAGTAGGGGGCGGAGCTGAGAGAGGAGCCGAGGGTGGAGAAAGGGGTGGAACAGAGGGAGGAACCGAGGGTGGAGAAACGGTAAAAGAAGATGGGTCAGGGGAAAGGAAGGGGTTGTCTTTTGGAAGAAAGGGATTTTGGGTAGAAGAAGGGGTAAAGGCGGGAAAGAACATGCGGTCTCCACCATTTTGGGCTCCATGGGAGCCATCTTGGGTAACATCAGCAAACCTTACAACTTTTGGAGATACAACTGGGGACTTGGGGAGAAGAACAGAGGGATCAGGAAGAGGGCTCCGAAGAGTCTGGCCAGGACCCTTCAGAGGAGGAGGCCGAGCCGGTCGAGAGGGAGCAGGGGCGAGATGGTCCCCCTGCTTCTTGCTGGTCTTTAAAATCCCTCTTGAGGGCTCCTGCCTGGGGGAAGAGGGTAAGGAATGAGGGGTAGGGGCACGACAACCAGGAGAACTGGGGAGAAAACTAGAACAGTATGGGCTTTTTCTCAATTTCCCGGGCGGGCGCAGCGTAGTTAACACTTTGCCCGCCCAATACGCCACAAGAGATAGTTGTGTTTCCCCGGAATTAACTTAGCTATCTAATTTTGCCAGAATGGCTGCCTAAAACTGTGGCTCTCTTACAATTTCCAGGGTAACTTCAGGAAAATGAGAAAAAGTCCATTTAACCAACAACTTCAACTCTTTCTTGGGGGCAGCAAACCCTCCCCCAAGTAACAAACCTTTTACAACATAATAAGCTCCTTTCTGGGATTTGCTCAACCCTGCACCCATGGTTCTCCCAAGGTACCCTGAGACTAGGTCGCCTTAGGAGGAGCAAGATCCCGTGGTGGAAAACTCCACTCGCCCAAGGAAAACTATAACTGAAACAACGAGACACACACAGCCGGCCCCTGCTCCCCCCGCTGTCCCCAAGTCTGAGGTTTCAACAAAGGGAAAGAAGGGATGAAGGGTGGTGGGATCTGGCCCCAAGTCTGGGATACAGACCCACAGGAAAGGAAAAACAAAAAATGAAAGGGATGAGGACTGCCCCCAGAAGAAGAGCAGTGAGGGAAAGAAACACTGCCTGGGGATCAGCCCTTAAGGAAAGGAGGGTCAGGAGCGATCCCCAATGCAGGGCATGGACTCCCAGGAAAACTTAAAAAGAGAGGGGGGAAGCCACCGAGTCCGGGGCTTACCTGGTCCAGCGGTGGTGCAAACAAAACTCGGGCAGGTGGTTCCCGTCGCTGAAGCCCTCCTGAGGGGCGGGGAGTTGTGGCTTCGGGTCCCCTGGGAGCGCTACCCCTAGAACGGGGTCTGCTACTACCAGAGGTAGCTTGGCGGCCAAAAGGAATGATAAATCCTGTCCGTGGGGTCCGGTGGTCTGGCGTCCAGCTGTCCAGAAGTCCAGCCGGGCCCAATGATGGGCGCCAATATGCGGTGAGGTGTGTCTGGCCTTGGAGGTCAGTGTCCGGCTAGCAGAGGGTAGGCCGACACCCAGCTGCAATCCAAGGCGAGCACCCCTTGGCATCAGGAGGCCTCGGGCTGTGCTCGCTGTGGACTGGTCTCGCTGCCACCACGACGGGAAATAAGGAGCTGGACTCTCGATGGGGTCAAGTCGGGTTTATTGTGATGCCCAAGACGACAACCAGGGAGACACCAGGAATGGAGGGTGGAACAAGGCTATAAAGGGAGAGGGTGTTTCAGGGAGGGGTTTACACAGAACCAATAAGGGAGAACGTGGGAGTGAACCTAACATAACAGGCATTAGGGAAAACCCAATCAATACAACGTAAGGGAGGGGCCCCGGGACCACAGCCAATCATAACCCCCCTAGGGAAGAAGATTCTGGTAAAATAGGAGGAGTGGGGGTGATTGACTGGGCCCAGGGAGGAGAAACAAGTGTACATACAAGGATATTAGGGGGAGGAGGAATTATATAACTAAAAGGACTGACAACCCCAGTGGCGGGAGTTGCCATGGGAACAACATAATAGACAAGTCTATGGCAGGAAAAAGAGGGAGGGCAGAACCATTATCAAATGGGGGGGAACAATACAGAAAATGGGGGAGCAATTAAATAAACTAACAAAACACACTACAACACCTACCAATGGGTATATAACCTGTTACAAGCTCTCTACTCTGTCTCCATTATTCCCTCATGTTGTCTTTGTCAGCGGATATCATTTAAATTGTTTTCTCTTTTTCTTCTTCTGCCTAATGATGTAATTGCCCTTTATACAAAATTTTCTGTTTGTTTGTCCTTCAAGCTATTTCTCCCTTCTCCCATCTGTGATTCAGTCTTTCTTCCTCTCTTTATTAGTACCTCTCCATCTTTAGATATCTTTTCACCTCACTGGCAAGAACTAGAATAGTTGACTAATAAATTCATGGCAGCTCTCAGTTTGCACCCTATTTATCACCAACAGATCCAAAGAGTGTAAAGTGTAACATGAAAAAAAGAAACCCATAAAAATATTGCTCCCCGTACTCCTCATCATGCATTTGTACTATTTTCATTTTAATTGGATCATGACATGCACCAATTTATAAATTAATGCAATTAGCTCAATACAAGCTCATCCACAGGGTGCTAAAATGCATCACTATTTCACAAAGCAAAATATTCATGAATCAGGACTATGTATTAAATTGTATGGGTTTCCAGTGCAGAAATCCAATTACTGTTCAGTGTAAAGCAAGCAGCAGAGAATGGTGGGTGTAGGGTGAGACCAAGGCAGCAAAATTAAGGATGTAAAAAAAAAGCTTATCCATGGAGACTAGCAGCTAAAACCCAGTTTAGAAAGCCCTAATGGTGTTTTCTCAAAAGTCCTTTCTGACTGGAAATTTCTCTCACCTGTACTATTAAAATACATTATACGCATTCAAATGTATTTGAGCAAAACAGCACAAACCATTTTCATTTCTTCTCTGATGTCAACCATTTTAAAACTCTCTTCTCTGCTAAATTTTTTTGCTTTGTTTTCCTCTGAAGTATCATACCTGGTTTATCACATACTTTAAAGCCTTCTGTGCCAGTCTCCCAGGCCCCTCCACAGTTTTGCCATCATCATTAGGGCCCCAGCTTGCACTGTAAATATCCACATGTTCTGGGTTGAAACCGATTGAACTGGCCTCAATAGCATCTGTGACTATTCTGTCCAGCATCCGTATACCTTCACAGGGAAAAAAAAAACCAGAAGCAGACTGAATTTACTTTCTGTTCCCTCCTCCTTGTCTTAGTTAACCAGTTTTAATGTTTCCAGTAAAATTAAGCCTTAAGTGCTGCAACCACAGCCAACTGCTGTTCACATAAAAAGTATTGAAGAGAGCTCCTGTCAATGTAAAACAGTGCAGTTAGATTTTATTGGCAAAGCTCAGTGTTTTTGTACAGAAATCCCACCAAAAACCCCTTAAAATCTTCTTAGTCTCCTATTTGTTTTTTTTGTTCCTTCTACAGAGACCAAAGAGATCTTGCTTACTGTTCCTGCTTTTTTCTTATTGCATTGTCTTTCTTCTTCCTCCTTCTCTCTTAGATCTGCAACAGACTTCTCAAACAGCTAAAATGCCGCTGAAATGAAATAGGTTTTATCAACATTATATTTGTCTGTAAGAGTTCTAGGAGTTTTAGTTCAAGGTGTAGTTCTGAACGTTCTGACCAAAGCACTTGTCCCTAGCAGTCCTTAAAGGTTTTGCTATCTCTGTGACATTGCAATTTCACCAGCTCTTCAACCTTCACCACAGAAAAAAAAACCAACTCACTGTTTTTCCTCTGCCACGGTTTTTTTCTGCTGTAAGCAATCCAGAGATATTTAGACATTAACAATTTATTAGGAGCTGCATGATCTAATCTCCTTCAGAGCAAGCCTGAAACTCAGTGGTACTTAAAATTCAGGTGCAAGCAGTTGTTCATCTGCACTGGATCCTTTGCTGTGCAAAGCCACAGCTCTGCAGTGGGGCTGCTACTACTGCCCAATGCTGGAAGACAGCAGAAAAAGCAGAAATCTGGCAAAATTCCCGCTGTAGCATGGCTCTTACAGCAACAGCAGCAATATAAGAGTCACCTCAGTCAGGATTCAGCCTGTGTTCACAAGCAATAAAAATGTCTGGGTTCCCTTGGATTTGGCAGGTTAGTACTACAGCAGCTGCACCATTGCTGGCAGTTGGTGAATTATGACTATTCGTTTTCTGGTATTTTCCACAAAACAGGGATTTTGCCAAAGCTCAGCAGGCAAAATGTAGTCATTCCATTACAAAAAAACCCCAAAAATACCCCACAACAAAAAACCTCCAACCTTACCCTTGCAGATAGGTGTCTTCTTCTTTTTTTTCATGCTATAAAGCAGAGGAAAAAAAGACTGCAAGCATGATTCTTTTCCTGAATGACTGACCTCTTATTCCTAAGACCTCCAAGATAAAGCTGAGCTTTATTATTTCATATTCATTAGTGCTAAAGTCAGACAAAGGAGTTTATCCTCTCTCCCACAGCTGCTCCACTATCACTCACAAAGCTGGGAAAAGCACCGAGGTATATCCTGTGCCTCAGGTACTAAAAACACCACTTACCCAGGATTGTCTTAAACTCAGAATGGTTTGATTACTCTTTTTTTTCCTGTCGGCTCAGAATTTCCAGATTCTCTCATGCCAAGCAAAGATCTGCCTGTGTGAAAGCGGCTGCAAGCCCCAGGTGAGAGCTTGCAATACAAAATGAGATGGTGGGAATGTGAGGAGGAGTAGTGTGCACATACTTCCCACAGAAAAAGACAGACAGGTCTGCAGATAAATAATGTAATAAGGGGAAAACTGAACAAAACAAAACAAAAACCAGAAAACGCCCAAGAACAATGACTCCACACTGATGAAAACAGCTCAAGGAAAAAAATCACTGCCTTGCCTTCCTGATCGTCAGAAATCCTGATTGCTCAAGTCAACTAAGGAATTTGATGACTGCAGTGATATTCCCGTAAGGAGATTCCAATTACATCCTCTTGCATAAACTCTTTTCTATTCTTGCTGCCATCATCAGTCCCACAAAATCAAAAGCAGGCAAAGCTCAAGGCAATTTCAGACATACACATATATGTATCTGCCTGGCAGAAGGGCTATTTTTAGCAACACGCCACTCTCAGCCCAGTCCTTCGTGAAATGGAGCTTCTTAATTTAATTTCCATGGCAGCACCATGGAAATATCATAACACAGTGGTACGGTCAGGTATGCACGAAAATACTCTGATTTACTGGAGGTGATCGATACACTTTTCTCAGATTTTCTCAGGTCTTTTGTCTCAAAGACCAAGAGGCGAATGTTAAAGGGCACTGAAAGGTGTCACTTTGACTGGCATGAAGAGTATTTTTTCTTCACACAGTGCACAGAGAAGCCCATGGTACTCACAGCCACAAAGTACTGGAGAGGCTAGTCCATGCTGCAGAATAGTGCCAGGCATTGATGTGACTGGAGAGAACATTCAGGATTGTTAAACTCAGTACTTTCACAGAAAAACAACACCAACAACAACAAAAAAAATCAAAGGAATGTTTTGTTTTACCCCTCAAGGCGAAGTTAAACCAACCAGTGATGCTGAAGGCTGGAGAGCAAGGTGTTCCACATTGTGAGGGTTTCCTTCCCTGAAGCAGATATTGCTGACTATCAGAGAGAAGTGGCTGTGGACCACTGGATTTGTCCAAAATGGCAACTGCTACAAGCACACAGCCACTTAAGGGAGTCATCCTGAACTAAGGTCAAGTACAAGTGTGCAATGTGTGATTTCATGGATTAAAAACAAAACAAAAAAAAATCTCACAAAAAAAAAAAAAAAAAAAAAAAAAAAAAACAAAAAAAAACCAAACACCGGGGGAAAACCAGCCTCTGGAGAAATGAATCCTGGAGAGCTTGGATCATCAAAAAAGCTTCCAGTGTTTAGCCACTCCAAATTTATCTGAATCTTTCGAAGACTTTTCTTATCTTCCACTGCTCTTTGAACATATTTTTCTTACACCACTGTCTGGGTGTTAATCAGCCTGGTCACATCTAACAGCTCACAATTTCTTTCAACTTTTCCATTCCTCCTCCTCCCCCACCCAAATGTATGTTGCTTACTGGGTAATATGGATTACTGGACTGCTTTTCCTCCTGTTATTTCCCTTTTCTAGATAAATCATCCTGCACAGATCTGTAGTTTACATTTGCAAATGAGCACGGATCATATGCAAATAGCTGTGGAAGAATCTCCTCAGTAGATGCAAGAGCCTTAAAATATGGGCACAGTGGGAGTTCAGACATCTTTGCAGCTTCATCCATTTTGCCTTCCTTTGAAAATCTGACGTCTTCATATTATGAGTGAGATATTGTATTTAAACAGATCATGACAACATAATGCATTATGGCAATGGCAAACTGCAAAGCTGACATCCATGACTGCTCAGTGAAATGACTGGGACCCAAGGAAACACCACGCTGAAATGGTGGGAACGACAGTTATGGGTGTCAATTGCCACTCATCATCTCGTCGTTTAAAAGGAAAAAGAGGGAATAATGGAAAAAGGAGGACTGTACAAATAACTTCCTCTGAGCTAAATATCCATTCGCAACTGATACTTGCATCATGATAATTTCATAAACAACTAGCAGATTGAGTCACTGATTAAAAAGCAAAACAACGATATTGATTGGTGGGCAAGAAAGACTTTACTTGTTTTCAAATTTAACTTGTGGTGACAGTTGAAACAAAAAGGACAGCAGTTTGCATGACTTGGCTGACATGACCTTTTGAATGTGATTGTGTAAATGGAAACAATATGCTGCAAATGTTGATGGGCATAATTTTGTGTACTCCTACTTTCACTCTACTGAATCCCTCTCCTTCCCTGGATAAACAATAAAAAGTAATTAGACCTTCATTCCTTAAAAGATACTGTCTTAACTCCAGGTTAATTATAAGTTGTTGCTGTTATTTTTGTTGTTGTTAATATTAGTAATTGTTGTTAATACTCTTAACATTATGATTATTAATTTTATTACTATCATCATAATCATCATCACCCTACCTGGACTATTGCTGCTCTTGTTACATATTCTACCTATCTATCTATTCATAATCCAATTCCAGACTTCATTAAAGAAATCTTGTCATGTACAGGTGTCACTCAGGACTGTTGCCAGACAGGATTTTGAAGCTTATAATACTGCAATATAAATGTTTTCCAAGAATGATCAATCATTCATATTTCAGATTGATGGTATCTGGCAACACTCAGCATCTGTCTTGTTTCCATTCACATTAGACATCTAATTATTTTTGTTCCTTACCTCCAACCCTGGAGTTGTAGGCTACGCCAACTCTGCATTTTCTGTTGTTGGCTTGCATGGCAATTTCCCCTGCACACCGTGTCCCATGACTGAATAAATACAGCAAGAATAAAGAACACATCATAACAGCTTTGTTGCATTGTACAGAAAGACTTGTCAAGGACCTTGATTTGTTCAAACTCTTCCTTTCAATTAATGCAATATGCAGTTATTGAAGAGCTTTTGAGTTGTATCTACATGACACAAAAATACTTACTTCTCCTAAGCTTCATTAAATATAATTTTACCTACTTCATGCTCAAAAGAAACATTTCCATGAGACGATAAATGCTTCCTTTGATCTCACTGAAGATATCAGTATTTTAGCAGAGTGAAAAAGTGGCATAAAATTATGGAGCTAAAAATATGTCTTCAGACAGGAATATGATACCAATATTTTTTAATCACACATTTAGATATGCCTTTTCTAAATCACAGCATTTATGTAGGATTTCAGAAAGTGAGCTGTTACTGGGCTTGCAAGGGTTTTTCAGGGTGAGAGAGAGACGAGAATGTTGACTCCATTATCAGAAGGCTGGACTTATTATTTTATGATATATATGTTACATTATGACTATGTTAATAGGAATATAGAGAAAAGTTGAGAAGCTTGCTATGCTAAGAATAGAAAAAGAATGAATAATCAAAGGAGCTGTCTTTGATTCTGTCCCAGAGAGAGCTCGGTCTCTGATTGGCCCTTAATTGTAAACATGCAACATGGGCCAATCACAGGTGCACCTGATGCATTCCACAGCAGCATATAACCATTGTTTACATTCTCTTCCTGGGGCCTCAGCTTTCCAGAAGAGGGAAAAATCCTAATGAAAGGATTTTTCACAAAAGATGTCTGTGACAGTGAGCCTTGAAAGTGTCCCCGTTTTTTCTTGTAGCAAACTCTTTTCTATGCAATTTTTTTCCCCATGGGTGATTCTAATTCCTCAATAGAGAAATCCTTCCCATAAGTCTCAAGGTAAGAGCATTGTATTATGTAATGCTACAGATTGTTATTCAGTGACATGCTTCAATGCTTCTGGGCTGAATTCCATTTAATTATTAATAAAGATTAGAGACAATACAGGTAGATTTAAGAGATAGTGAAATCATAACAATAGGATAATGGCTTCTTTCTCTAAAATAACACTGCAACAAAGTAGAAATGCTATTTTTCAAATGTCTTATTCATGGATATATTATCCTCAGACTGATCTTTCTTTTTTTCCCCTCATGCAATGATTTACGTTGTGAATACTACAGTATTGTCTGATGGGAAACAGGGAGCCAATGCATCAGTTTCTTGCTATCTGCAGAGAGTAGTGGCATCCTAATTTGTTTAAGAAATTGACTGTTTTGTGTACCAGCTTCTAGGGAGGTCCCTCCTGTTCTCTTTCTTATGTACAAAATCCATGACCGGACTATGATGGACGTGCCCAGGTCTGACAGACCCATTGAGACTTTTTTAATTTGAAATTTCCAGTGGAAAGCAGAGTATTGAAGTAAAAACATACTTTGGGAGGTATCATTCCAGAAACAAACAGAGGCACAAGAATAGGTTATTCCCTTCACCTTGCAGAAATACCTCAGCATCTTACATGTGGCATAAAAAAATTCAGGACATCATAGGGAGATTGCAATTATGAAGTTCTTCATCTAGGAATTTTATCCCAGTGTTTATATCAATGTCATGTGAGAATGGTCCTGCAAACTGGAACACAGGAGGCTCCTTCTGAGCATCCAATAGTGATTCTTTACATTGAGGGCAACTGAGCACTGCCACAGGTTGCCCAGGGAGGTTGTGGCCTCTCCCTCCTTGGAATATTCAAAAGCCATCCTGATCGTGCTGGGCAGAAGCCTCTAGAGCTCCCTGCTTGAGCAGATGACCTTCCAAAGTCCCTTCCAAGCTCAAGCATGCAGTGATTCTGTTACACAAATTCTTCCTCTTATAAAATAATTGCCACAGGACACCTACACAGAAATTTCTCCGCTTGTATCTTCTAACACACAAACTAACACTGCAATGTTTTGTTCTCTTCAGACAGCTGTGAAACTACTCACTTGTTTTCATTTGTTGGGTCATATCTAGGAAAGGGATCGTGATCATTGTTGTTGAAATCGTAACTTGCCTTTGGGTCCTACATGTAAAAAAAAAAATAAAAAAGGAGAAGCAGAATTAATTCAGACAACTAGAAAAGGCATTTCTAAATTGCTAACAAAATGGGTTCTAGAGTCTGTACTTATTTACTTGATGTGCCTCATTGGCAGCAATCAAGCTGGTAGAATTTGATGGCCATTAGCAATTCCATAACTTTTTCATGGAGCTTTAATAATTTATCATTAAACCACTACATACAAATGCGTCTGGGAACTAAATCTACTGCAGGAAAAAACAAAACAACAAAATATCTGCCCTGCTACCATTGCTAAGTGACAGTCAGCTTCCTGTGACACAGACCAGGCTCCAAATCATGCCTAAGGCAAGTGTTTCAGTCTCTGTACTGCAGGAGCTGACTTACAGAACAGACAATGAGCTGGGGAAGAGTGTCTGTTTATCAAATTTACAACTGATAATCTATTCCACAGCATTCTAATGCTCAAACTTACATAGTTAGCATAGATGTCAGTGTGATTCCACTCCAATCCATCATCCAGGATGGTGATGATGACTCCTGTGAATCCTTTCTGCCACACAGGAATAACATGGAGATCCAGTTTGGGCAGGGATGGAGTAATTCTTGTGTCTTGCTGTGGGACAGAATGGATTCAAATATATCAGTATTTTATCCATTTATACCAAACAGATCCAAAGTCATATTCTAAAGATGCTGTAAAAAATCTCAGCCAGAACTTGTGTATTTCACTCAAATTTTGCAAATACAAACCAAAAATTAATTTCATCAAATACTTGTGGCATTGAAAGATTTACCGCACTGCACAAATATCCCTGAAGACCACTCCTGAACAAAAAACACCTTGTATTTTTGGTAAGTAGGCAGCAGAAACTGAAAAGAGTGGTGAGGATGCACTGATGGACCTTGGAACACTGGGTTAATAATCAGACCTGCTAATGTTTGTTCTTTTCATTTGATGAGGAGCCAAGACAGTGCCCGCAGTGCAGTGAGCTGGAGTTCCTCCAAGTGTATTTTCTCCTTGGATGTTAAAGTTAGCCAGAGCAAAATAATTAATGGGTAAAACAATTAAGGTAGTCGTTTGGTTGGGAACAACTGTGTTGAATCACAATTTTCTCTTTACTACCCTCATTGGTGCTCCTGTGGTAAATCAGCTGGAAGTATGAATCATGTGTAGCCTTCTCTTCTGCAGCAAGTTTTTTGAAGAGTACCTCCTAAATGGGTCATTTTCCCCCTCTAATGCTAAAGGAGCAGTGCATAATTTAGAAAACATGCTTACAGCCCCCATAAAAGCAGAGATGTAAAAAGAAGCACTTTCTTTCTCCTTCTCTGTGCGCAATTACATTAGCTGATGGCAGATTTTCTGTATGTCTTTGTTTCCAAAGAAATACTGCATAAAATACAAGGTTTAGAAAATTTGTTATGGGGGGAAATTTCTTTCAAATTTTGCTATCTGTACTCGACTACTTCCACTCAGGAAATTATTTGAGATTTCAAACTTTGTTCTCTTGAATCCATCAAATAATTTTTTTTCCTGGTGATGTGTGAAGGTACACAGGATAGAGCTAAAACTGTTGCCATCAAATCATAAAAATAAGGTAATAGTCAGTTCTTCACTACAAGGCAAAGAACATATTTTGGAAGAAAATGTCTAACTCTTTTATGCATTTAATCAGAAAAATTCAACGTTCATTGCAAACAAGGCTAAGTAGTAGGTTTTTTTCCTCATGTGTGAAAACTAGAGGGAAAAGTAGTGAAAACCATAAATAGGTGGGAAAAGGAACTAAATCTCCTGGAGAGCAGAACATTGCCAGGTTTTTTTCCCCTGTTTTTATGAATCATGTGTGTGTTTGTGTATTTGTCTAATATAGACATCTTGGAAATGTCCTTTTTTGGATACAGGCAAGGAAGAAAACAGACATTCTGGATCTAAGAAAAGCTAAATTCTTACAGATAACAATATTTTTTCTGTTCAAAAGAAGTCTCCAGGAATCTTTGTGGAAATATTTTGTGCTATGTGGTTTATAATTTGTCTTCTCTAGCTCAAAAGAAGGAAAGTAGCCTAGATTTTGTTTCTCCAAGATGAGCTGAGGAAAATTATTTCCAGACACCCAGGCCCTTTTTGTGCTTGACCTTTCTTTCTGATTTGTTATACCCACCTTTAATCCCATCCCTATTCTGTAAAAGCAATGAATTCTAGACTGAAGGTACAGCTAGATGCACAATGGAAACACAGGCTCTTGGAAGAAACCATGTAAAATCTAAATGATCAACTGTATTTCTCAATTGACACATGCAGACAGAAACGGTGGAGCTCAGGAAATTTTTTTCCCCTGAGGTTTTGAGCATGTGAGCAAGCTTTAGAGACCCTCTAACACAGAAATCCTAGTTCATATAGCTGAAGGTGCTTGTCACATGCATGCAGATGCTTTTGTTTTAATCTGGTATATGTATTCTGTACTACCAATTTTAATAAAGAAATAGATGGCCAACTTCAGATACGGTAATGGATCTAGAATCTTTGTAGAAGTGACATTCCACAGAAGAGAGAAGGTTGCCTGAAAATGTTATTTATAGAGATCACTCATTTTTACAGCATATGCTAACAAAAGATACTTTTCATTTATTCCCCTCAGTGCAACCACTCTGATACTGGTAAAATAATGCAGCTGGTGGCACAACCACCTTCCCCAGTTCCACAGGGCAACAAATTCTTACCAGATACCACTGCTGACTCCACATAGGGTCATTGAAAAGGCTTTCAGCTGAGCCTCTCACAGCGGCTCGCTTGGTTCGCTTTTTTTCATACTGCTGCTCTGCCCATGACACCTGCAATTATTTGCAAAATTATGATAAGTGAACCTCTTCAATTTGGGACTTTTTTAACCTGGAGTATAAGGGCTTTCGTCATACAGAGAGATTTTGGTGCCTAAAGCAAAATGAGCAGCATTCAGTACAGGGAAGAGGATTATTTAAACTGTAGTGCAGTGAGATTTAGGGGAGAGAACTTGGTGAAATCACAATACTATAGAATCAATTCACAGAAAATCATTAAATACAAGTTAACAAGAAACTCCTGTGAGTGACACAAGGCAGGTTTTTGCATCAAATAAAACCACGTAGTAGGGCTAGAAGGTTATCTAAGCAATGGTGCTTACTGAAACAGGGAAAACCATGGCCTGCTTCTTTCCCCTACTTATCATTTATTCTTTCTCTACTGGGAGTGAAAAGGCAAGAAGAAAGATTTAGTCTAGCAATCATAATGATGCTGTTGCTCACAGACCAGCTGGACCTCCAAGTCTCCTTCCTAGTGGTGTTTTGAAAAGTGGTCAATTAGCAAGCTATGACTATTAGACTAACTTCATCACCAGCATAATTCCACTTAAGGCAACTGAAAGCCAAAATGCTTCAGTGTGCTTTGATAAAGCTTCAAACGAGTTGCAAAGCCTTTGTGCACAGGCACAGCAGTCTCTAAGGCACTAGGTTGTATTTTAAATGTGTACTGCCCTTGAATGCATTACTGAACCCAGTTCAGATGAAATCCTGATGATGATGCCTCTCTCTGTGCTGTGCGGTCTTTTTGGAAAGGGAATAAAACATTATTAGTTGATCCTTGTACAATCACTCTGATGCAGATATGGTTGGTCCTTTTCATTCCAAATTCCAAGCAGGCAAAGAAAACAGGTTCAGTAAGATTGCCAAGATCCTGTGACAAGCCTCTCATGGAGGATGCCTTATATCTAATCTTTTATTTTCAAGCTCTGAATAGATTCTGTTCCTTTTATCTACTGTGATTGAGCAGCTTTATGATCCTGACATCTATCACCATATATGAGATAACAGTGACTCAGAAGTTATGATTAAGAAGTAGGATTTGATTAAAATGCAATTTTGTAATGAAAGCCTAATGAAAATTCACTACAAGAACATAAATCCCCTAAAACAGTATCTGCATTAGGCATGTTTATGATTCTCTTTGCCGTATATTTAGTCCTAAACCCCCACAAACCTTGGTCATAGAAGATGAATATACCCATGCAAGTGTGGGTATTTTAAACTGTTCTATTGATATCTCAGGCCATACATACTTGTGCACACTCTATCTCTCTTCCCTGCCCACAGCAAAGCTTGACCTCTTCACCACCCAACAGTAATTAGCAGTTGACAACTTCCATGCTTGTTATTTCTTTTCACTGGGAGCAAGTGCACTGAAGGGAAAGGAGCTGACACTCCCAAGCACATATGTCAGGCCAACAAGCAAAACGTTTGTCACTCAGCAGCTGGGTGAGGTTTCAACCATCCACCCCCAGAAAAAGCTGAAGTCCCCATGCCAAATCTCCAACCACTGATACATAAAGCAGTAAAAAAATTCTCAATTCAAATCTACTTGCAAGAAAGTAGATTTAGAAACTAGTGCAAATACTAGAATAAGGTAGGTAACCAGATAATTATATCCCTTCAATGTATTCACAGCCTTTATCTGTTTTACAACAAACACTATAGGAAGCCGATAAATACTCAGATTAGAGCCAAGTCTTACCACAACTTTCACACTTAACGTATCGTAAAATTCATGAAGGCGTTTTACAAACAAAAACAGGATTCCCTTTTTCTCTCTCTTTTTAAAAGTTGAATCTAAATCTTTTTAAGTAGGCTGCTGCTGAACAAGATCAGCTCCTCAGTGCAAAGGTCCCTGTGTAACTACACAGCATTACATGTGTTTATACACTTACATAATGCATAATTACATCTCATTTATCCACGGAATTAATCTGGATGGTAAATAAAATGGAAATTGGAGTAAATTTAGCAAATCACCTGCAGCACTTTGAATCTGAGAATGCAAGAATGCAATAATGTCTGGTAGCAATATGATACAATCATTTCCATTCTGCTACAATTTTAGGACATGATGCATTGAACACTCTCATTCCTCCCTGTGTAACAGATTCATTGGATGCAGCTAGCCTAAAAAAGGGAGAGACTTGATGAAGTGAAGGGAGACAACCATCCAATTGATGAGCATTGAACTCCGATTTATTGATCCAGCTTACACACTTTTATAGTAGTGTTAAATTCATACATATTGCAAAACCCGAGCTCATCATTGGTTACAGATTACACACCAACCCCTCCTTTGTTTTCAATACCTGTGGTTTCTTGTTGAGGCTAATACTTGTTTTTCTCATCCTGCTGTTGACTCGTCATTGAACACCCTTTCAAGGACTCCATGTTTTTCACCATATTTTCCTCATCACTTAGCCAAGGACGCGGTATTTACTGTTTAAGGGAAAACCTGAGAACTTGCTGCTTACAGCTGCCTTTTACTTTTTAGCCAGCTGTATGTGATCATGGCCCTTCTATAAGCCATGTCTAAACAAAATTCTGCAACATATTCCCCGTTTTTCTTTTTTTTGCTGAAGGAGGTTAGTCTGCCAGGTTTTTTCTATCATTCTACTGACCATATCTTGAATACAATTAAAAATACAAGCTAAAATAAGCAAAAGCATTAAAAGCACACCTAGTATCCCTATAAGGTTCCAAGCAATGGCTTTTACCGCAAAGGGTTAAAACAACCCCCAACTGAGCCATAATGCCCTGCCTTATCAGGCATTGCACGGTAGGTGGTAAGAAAGCTGTTAGCTGTTTTTCATTCATGCGAACCCGGAGAGGAGGCAAACGGCTAGGGCTAATAATGCTGGAATCTGCTCCAGTATCGAGCAAGCCTGAAAATTATCCTTTCTGTCCTTGAAATTCCACTTCCACCCTTTTCTTGGGTCTCTCAGAAAGGTTCAAAGTCAGTAAGGTAAGTCCTCCAGTGGATTCAAAACCATTTTCTCCCCTCTCTTGTCCTTTTATAACCTGTAATCCCTTAGTCATTTGGCTCAGGTGGCACCAGCTGAGCAATTCTCAGTCCTTTGTTAATTTGGAGTGGTGGGAAAGGGGTATGCACCGTAACCATATAGTCCACACCAATGACACCAGGCAAAACAAATAATCCCAACGCAGATGATCTTCCGAACAGCAGAGCACCCAGCTTGGCCCTGTATAACAATAGGTCTGTGAATCCCTGTCGGGATTTTTCGTGGGTGCAGGGTCATCAGCATAACTCCTACAGCAGCTGCCGGTTCCAAGCCGAGGCTCCCGGTTGTGGTGGGTTGGAGACAGGAGAGGGTGCTGTTGCGGCAGCGACGACTTGTGTCGGTGCATGGTCACTGTGATTCTGGCACCAACTAGGCATTGGAGGCAGTGCTGCTGATGTTTGAAGTGGTGTAAGTGCAGCTAACAACTGATTCTGAGAGGTCTTTGCCTGTTCTTGTAAGCTTAGCCCTAATTGTTTGATTGCAGCTACTACAAAGGCTTGTGGTCCTGTTGGCATCAAAGCCATCCTCTCTAATGCCTCCTCTATAGTCCAATTGACACCCAAAGTATTAAACACGCTCCTAGTAGTAGAATTACAATTTTGAAGAGCGCACTCCTTGAGTAATGCCCCCCTAAGATAATCTGGTACCCCGGCCCTTTCGATTGCGGCAGCAGCCTTATCAATAAATGACCTGAATGACTCTTCTGGCCCTTGCTTAATTCCCATATACACGGATACCCCTCCCAGCTCTTTTACCTTCTCTATAACAAGCCTAACCAACCTCATCACCTCCTGGCACTTCTCTTGCCCCAACAAAGCTTGTGCCTTGGTACGAAGAAAAGGTCCCAGGCCCAAAAGCTCATTAACAGTTATGCCATGGAGAGGGTCTCCCGGCTGCCTCTGGACCGCCACACACTTGTTCACAAGCCCCTGCCAATGAGCATTAAATAACAACTGCTGATGTTGAGTAAAAATCAATTTAGCTAATCCACGACAATCATTCACCAAAAGAAGACTATTATCAAAAATATAATCTAACATCTGTTTGGCTGGCTCACTTTTCACTCCAAATTGACTAACAGTAGACCTCAGTTGAGACAGCAATTTCCAATCAAGGGCTGTAATAGAAGCCTGCATGCCCCCTCCCTCCTGCAGATGGAATACCACAGGACAAGCCAGCTCAGTAACAGCGCTGATAACTTCCTCATCCCCCTTTTCCATAGCTTCTCTGGCAAGCGCAGCCCATGCAAACCTCTGTTCCCTTGCAATAGCCCCCGCTAGGTCGTTTTCCGCCCCAGGGATCACCTCATTGATTTTCGGGAGATTACCGGGTGGTCTCGGCCACGGCTCCTGTTTTTCAGGGGGTGTGGAAGCCTCAGAAGCGCACTGTTTAGCCTGGCTTGCTGAAGCAGAGGAGGGCAGCGAAGCAGGTAATAAAACCGTCCTCATTGCAGGAGCTAATGGTGTTCCCCTCTCCTGATCGTAATCTTTATTACGCTCATGAGCAGCTATTGCCTGCTGGGCAGCCATTTTTTCGGCCTGAAACTGCAGTAATTCATTGTGAACGACCCTCCATAATTTACCCAACTTCTTGGCAGTTTTATTGTCCTCTAAAGTAGCCTCCCATAGTAAATCGCCGAATTTACGCCACTCCGTTAACTTGTGAACCGTATGGGGTTTAATAAAAACTCCCCTATCGTAGCCATAAGTCAATAGCCCTGGTAAATCCTTTTGCACCTGCCTTTTTTGTAAAAAGGCAGTAAATAAATCATATGCTGCTTGCCTTTCCATACCTAAATCGTCAGCGCTGATTGCAGCTCTTCAAGGTCCAGCAGCAATATCGGTCGGGCTCGCCTTTACGATTACCCGAGGCACAATGCATCTCAGCTTCTTTTTTATCCCTTTTTTTTTTCTTTTCTCTGCAATTTCTGCCGTCCCGG